CCTTGGACAGGCTTCTATTCCCACAACAGATAGGGTTGAAGAGTGCCATGCACATCTCATAAATATTTTAAAAATTTTAATCTACACAAATCATAGATGAAAGTTAATTTTTACAAAAACATTTGGCATACTTACAAATTACAAAATAAAAATGATATATACTTTGATACGTTTTTTGGAACACTTAGGTTGAAAAGTACTGAAGATCTAAAAACAAAAACATAGATTGACAGGTCCATCTTTTTACTGCACTGAAATCATTGCAATGCTGTGTTCAGTGTCTTTCAGAAACACAAGCTGGGACAAAGTAGTAAGAAAATTTGTGTTCTCTGCTAACTCAAAAAATTCAATCCAACTTTTGGTTCAACAGTTTGATTATCGCCTGGTGATTTTGAGTGATGAAAAAAAGATGGATGAGTATCAGTCTATCTTCTTGATTATTACTGACAATACCTTGACAAACTTAAAAAAAAAATTTCTCTTGACTTGTTTCCAAACTAGCTTACAGTACAGTTTTAGTAAGACCTTGCATTTCAAAAGTTACACTGATATTACCTTTGTATTAACGGTCAGTGTTTTCTGTGTTCTACAAGTGTGAACAAGCTTCACACCCAATCTAACTGTTCTTTCCTATGGATAGTTGGTTGAGAGCAAAGAGAAACCCAACTGGTAGCAAGGGTTATGATCATTTTGATTCAAGCTTTGCACACATATATTAAGTTTTTTTCTGAGGAGACAACCTCTTTGACTTTCTCTCTCTCTATCTTTAATATATAAAAAACATAAAACAACTAAAAATGAGAACCCACTTTCAAAAAAAGCTATTCTCTTATTGTCTGCTCATAATACAAGCTGCAGCACAAAAAGGAAAAACCAATTTTGTCAAAATGCAACATTTCCTGGCTTCAAATCTTGCTGTGTGAACTACTTTTAATTAACACATTGGACAAAAATTTATTTATGCAACTGTTGATGTTTAGTCCCTGACAATAACAATACACCCTAGAAAAAGGCAAACACTTGATACTGCTGTGGAAAATACTTAACACTACTTTAGAAATACTTGTACTTAGAAACACAAAAGAGATTAAGTTGGAAGTTTCCAGAAACCCTTACAGCCATAAATTGCAATTTAAGGTTAATGGTTACTTTCTGGAAATTAAAAACAATTATAATTCTTCATACCTGCCAACCTTTTTGAGAAGAAATTCTATGGCATGTATAGGATGCTATTAAATTTCAAGATACTTATACATTTCCAGGGATATCAAATGCAACAGCCTTTACAGAATCTCCAGTTTCCTTCCTTTTGTCATTCTCTTCACGCGTCTGCTTGATTCTATATTGGCACTGTAAGGTGAAACTCTGTCTTGGTCACTCATGGGAGTTAAACGGTTAATCAGAAAGCCCAGGCTAGCTTGAAAAGAAAATTTCCTGATCTGCATGCATCAGAGTTTGTAAGTACTAACAATATAATGGCTACCAGCCATGAATCTCTGTTAATCAACAGGGTCGACAATTAATGGCGCAACATATTCAGACCACCTCTGGCCAAAGTAGAAAGAGGGTTGTTTCTTGAACGTGGAATAGCACTGAAAGAGAAGAAAACAAATTCATTCAGGTTTTACATACTAAAAAAAAATTGAACATATTTACTATTATTGATGAAAAAAGTGCATGACTATAAACGCCCAAGCAGTAAAAAATGATATTTTAAAAATTCTCTATAATAATTATTTGCATTTTAACATTTTTTAATATTTAGTTTACAAGAAAAATTGAGATATGTTCAAATTTACTTCTAAATTTATTTCGGGTTTATTACAAAATCAACTCTTCACGGGTTTATTATGAATCAACTTAACGGCCTGCTCCCAGTTGGCTTGTTAGCTCAATTGGTAGAGCGCTGCACTAGTATCGCAGAGGTCAGTGGTTCGA